ATCGTGGAATGATTGCATGAGACAGAAGCTGGCCAAGTGTCCAGTAGAGTAACCACAGTGATAATGTAATTTATGTCGTACATGAGACTTCAGCTCTCTTTCTGAGTGCTGCTCAGCATCCACAGTAAAAGGGTAATGAATAACCTCCATGCTGTTTCTTCTGCTGGGAGTGGTAATAGCCATGATCTCCTGCCAGAACTGACTCTACACTTGGACTTTATGATGTGTGTAAAAAAAAAAAGAAAACAAAAAAAGAAAACTGCTTCTGGAGGGGAGTGACTACTGGTATCTGTTCCACCAAATCATTATTTAGGCACAGCTCCTGTCAGGGTTAAAGGTGGATTTGAAGACAGAAGAGTCTAGGACTGCTTGTGCTGGATAAGTGGTGACATAGCCTAGGTGAAAATAGGTAAAAATGCCAGTGACTCTTTCTGCCCTTTGCTGACTTAGTTAGCTAGTACAGCGTGAAGTAGCTTTAGCATAAAACCAAATGAGACATCATAATATGAGCAAATGTGAGCCTGGTGACTAAGACACTAGCTGGGAATATTGTCTTTAAATATTTGCTGGAGGCCATGCTGAAATTCAAGCTCTTATCTCCCAAAGCTCAGTACGGTGTGTCTGCTGTCAGTCTACTCACTCATCCTTCCTCACGTTACAGCATCTGTCTCGCTTTCCACAGAAGTGCTTCTCCATGATGTCTTATAGTGCCAGACAGAGAGTCTCGGACTGACTGACTCTGTAGCACAACAGTCCCACCTCTCGGTATTGCTCCAGCGTGCAGTGAAGCTCTGTGGTTCAGGGTGACCATATAAAATATGTGGGATAGAAAATGACTCCAGCAAAAAACATCGATAAAACCTCTTTACACTGAGAAAAGGTGTGAAGTTAGATCTCCTTTGCCAAAAGGGGAAGATAAAGAGAAATAAACCTCATTCCTGCACGTTCTTCAAGTCAAAGGAATGGTGTTAGCCACTTAGACGCAAAAGTTAGATAGTCAGTCCCTTCCTCAGCATCACTGTGAAGTTAATACAAAAGGAAAATACTCAGTAGTACTCCTGGAAGTATTTGTTCAACTATAAAACCCTGCAACTTTTCTCCTCTATCATCTGCGTGTTTTTTCTTTAGTATTTCTATCTTTGGTGTTTTCAATATAAATTCAGGAAGGGCAGAAATGAAGATTCGTATTCTCTCATTCTCAAAAAGAATAGTTTAACATTTACATGTTGTTATGACCTGACTGGCAAAGATTAGTCTTAGTGGGCTCATGTAGGGGACATCCTGGCACAGCATGAGCAGCACCTGTTTAAATATCTAGCCTGAATCCTCTAACATTGGAAAAAATCTAGTACATCTTTGTTGTATCTTTTTGGACACACATTCAACAGTATCTTCTATACAAGGATACAAAGTAATTGGAGTGATTGGGGAGATAAACATCTCAACAAGCAATGCTCTTAATTGGATGACACATTCCGAAAATGCAACTCATTATCACAGGCAAATTTGCTCTATGTTGTGCTACAGGTGACTTGATTGCCTGTAATCTGGGCTAAAAAAAAAAAAAGATTCTTTAAATGCAGCTTCAGGGAGTGCTACATATTTTTTCTTGGTTTCATCTGGTTTCCCATAATATCAAAGCTGCGTTTAGTGGATAGAGATTTACGACCAGAAAATTACATGTATAGTCGAAGAATGTGAAGGAATGATGTGCCTTGTAGAATTAGTTATCGTTGCTGGGGAAGTAGAGCTGGTTTACAGCTTGCTTTTTCCCTCTCCATCTGGGACTGATCTGTGTCTTTGCGTTGTATATAGGAAATGTTCTCTGCAATTGTCTAAACGTAAAGACTATGTTTCAGGCACTGTGGTGAAGGAAATTTTGAAAACCTTGACTCATTGCACAGACAATCACTAGCATGTACATTTTTAGAAGTATGTTATGTTTTATCTATCTTGTATTTTAAATACATATATACATATTTATGCCTCAATTGGCTCAGCTACTGCCAACAACAGGAAAATTATGAACAAATTTTGCCTCCTGTTATTCTGTTTCTTTTTTTGTGTTTTAATACTGAATGCTGCGCAGTGATAGAAACTACTTTGCTGTGAACAGGAGTTAGTTATTACAATAAATACCTAGTGACTAAGAGACAGATACAAAGCAGTATAGGCATTTTTGTTTAAAGCTCCCTGTGACTGATATTTAGGTTATCAAATGGATGATGGTTTTGGAAGATCAAGGCAATTGGTGGCATCAGGGATTTGCAAGAGAGTTTTTCATATAGCTAGCTTGCAGCTGGTCTTTAGGGGGTTTTGAATGGATTTGCCTTTTGTTGTCTGAGCTACATGTAACACAAAATTATTTTTTTTAATGTGGTGCAGTCATTCTCCTTAGCTAGATCGATGGTTTTGCTCATTTTTTAGATTTCAAAAATGTCATCTTTATTAGGATGGGGCTCTAGAGAAGACTAAAGGCTGGGCTACATTACTATCCTTGGTAATTTGTAATGTCAAGATTATCTTTTGTTGCTTTTACCATTCTTGGGCTTGGACTAGATGATCTTTTGAGGTCCATTCCAACCCCTAACATTCTGTGATTCTGTGATCCTTAAAGAGAGCTGAGAGTTGACAATTAGATGCATATCTTAAAATACTTTTTACATGTCACTCAGGCTAAAAGCCAAAAGTAAAACAGTTGCTAGATATGGTATGTGAGAGCATTCATTAGCACCATTCAGGATCAGGGAACATTTTTTTAAAAAAAGCTATTTGAGGAATCGAAAGAAAACTGCAAGTAGGCTTCTTGCTGACAAGTTGCAGGTGTATACCACATGCCCGTATTGGAAAAAGTTGCAGTTATGAAGGTCTTGATGACAGACAAGGGTCTAAAACGCCTTCATCTCCAGGTTTTAGATAATCCATCTGTTTTTTATTTGCATTTCTCCCAGCTAGCAGTGTTAGTATTCTCTAAACTCAGTATAACCATGCACAGGTCTATATAAAATTGTTTTTCTGCATTGTAAGATCCTTAGTTTAGAAATGTCTCATTTAAGTCAAGGAAGCCTTACTTTTATGGTAACTATATAATAAATTGTAAGTCAGTATTAATGATTTCTTTCAGTAAAAATGAGGGAAAGGAGTGATGAGATTGAGGGGAAAGATCTTTAGTTGTGCCTTGCTAGAACAGTCTGCTTATGCCTTAAGAGTACCACAGGTGAGTGTTTGCATTTGTCTCTAATTTCTACTACTAGCTAGAAGATCTGGCCTTCTTTGATATTCATCCTCTCGAGGATGAATTCAAGAGTAAATGTTTATTCTTAAGGGAGAAAGATTTACACATGCGTCAGGTTACTCCAAACAGCTGTGTTCTGAAATAGGTCTTCAAAGATGCATATTCAGAATGCAGAAGTAATGGGGCAGCAGCATTAAGAAAAATACAGCCAGCGCTTTTGGTACTGTAAAGTAAATTTTAACAGTGAAACAACTAATGAAATCACCTGGGAAATGGCATGGTTTTGCCTCCCACTGACACTAGAGAAATTTGCTTGCTTTTATTATCAGACGTCTTGTTTCTTCTGTGGTTCTCCACAGAACGGCACAAAGGCAGAGAAACCAGAAAGTTCTCCATTTAAAAGAACAATTTTCAGAGAAAATTCTCAATGGTGTCCAAGTTTTTCTTTTCTAAGAACAATATAATTGAGCCTTGACTTAAAATACTATTAAAAAAATAATCAGCCTACATTGAAAATTAGTTAATGGAGCTTTTAGTTTGTGGTAAATAATTAACTGCAAGAGTCTTTTTGAAAACAGTAAAAGCAATACTTTATTTTATTTAAAATGCTGGAGGAAACTAGTTGAGAAAGTGTAAATGTAATTTTCCAAAAACTGCCCAAAATTTATTCTCATCTTTTTATCTAAACAAATTCCTCAAGTGTAATTTTGAGGAATGAAAAAAAAATAATCTATGATTAATTTAATAGGTGGTAAAATTAGATGCAGACAGAGAGCTTGGCTGTAGCTGTGTGGGAGTCAGTAGGAAGGATCCTTGGAATGTGGCAGTGTATGATGTTATGTCTCCTTAAAGCATCATGTCTTTTCCTTTTGTGGGAATAAACTTTTTTCTTCTCTTTTTTTTTATGGGAGAATACAGTACTCTCACACACTGTATTCTTTTTTAAAAATCAGTTTTCCTGCAAGATAATGCTAGTTTTGATGAATACAGGAGAATTGTGTATGTGTGTGTGTGTGTGCTTGCAGAGAATTGTATGTGCAAGACCGTTTATGCATCATGTGTTCCATGCTGCATACTATAGCAGGTGGCAAGTTTAGGCAGTATACTAAGCCCATAAATGAAATAAAAGGTTATCAAAGTGCAGTGCTGACAAGTTTGCTCCAAGGAGTCCAAGTGGTGTGGATCAGTGGGGAGAGGTGCAGTCACAAAGGAGCTTGTGCCAATGTGGTGTACGTGTTCCCTGTGAGAACAATGAACTTACTTGCTGTCAGTGTGCTTGAGAACTACAGAAGGAAAATGCCTCCTTGAAGTTTAAATAAAAAAATTACCTATTGGAGAATGTGTTTCAGCATTCATACTGACTGAGAGGGGTTTTATGGCTCTGTTTATTCTTCATGGCAAAGTTTTAAGCTCTTGTCTGTGAATTAGCGGCCTGAACCCATCAAAATATGAGTTCTGTTGTGCCAATCCGTGTTTGAGGCAAGAAAAGATGAAACCACTAGGGAGCTACTTCTATCTCCCTGATTGTTTCAGCAGCTATGTCTTCGCCAGCAGCATGAACTTAAAAATTGCTGTTTGTTTGCAGTGAAGCATCCTTACCTGCATCTCCTGGCCCCAGGGAATGGCATCATCTCAACTCTCAGCTTCTTTTTTTGTTTGGAGGTTTCAGTAGTGGTTTGGTTTCATTTGGCTTGGTTTTTTTAGGTGTTTTGTTTTTTAAAATAGGCTGCATACATGCCTTGAATGGAGGAGTGTTTCACTGCAGCCTTTCTTTTACCCACCAGGCCTACCCCTGTACCAATGATAAGGAGTGCGAAGTTGGGAGATACTGTCACAGTCCTCATCAAGCAACATCTGCATGCATGATGTGCCGGAGGAAGAAGAAGCGTTGCCACAGAGATGGCATGTGCTGCCCTGGGAACCGCTGCAACAATGGTACGTCAGTCATTTCTTGGTTTTCCTCCATAAAATCAGCATTTTGATACTATCTACTTCTCCAAGTGTTCCCAGCAACACTATTTTTTTTAATAGGTGACTGCGTTGCTTTTTATAAATCAAGAAAACTCAATTTTCTACTTCATCCCGCTCTACTTCATTGTCTTTAATAGTATTTCTATGTTTAAGGCTTGTGTGCTACCAAATGTTCTCCCATTTTTGGAGTGGGGGAAAACCCACAAATGATGCTGCTGCTGACTGAAATCATGGCACTACATGCCATGTGCTTTGATTCTTGGAAAGACTGCCCAGAACCCATATTTTTAAGGAAGCAGAAGAGACTTAGTGAATCCTTGATCTACTCTCCCTCTGCAGGGAGGTTAGAACTGTACTGTTTTGCATTCCCATACTCTCCTCTGGAGACTGGGAAAGTCTACAAGGCAGTCTCGAGGTGCTCACACCATAAAGCCAGACGGACAGCGAGACTGTCTGACAGAGCTGTGGTGAATTTAGGTGCTGGATATCAGGGACAGAAGGTGTGAGTAGAGCTGAGCATCAATGAGGCTAAGCCCCAGCACTTTCATGGTCCTGATGTTCTGATCTTTGTTTGTGTATGTCTTTCAATTGCATTTCTTCTCGTTCAAATCTTTGACTATCTTTTCCTGGCAGGTATTTGCATACCAGTAACCGAAAGCATCCTTACGCCTCACATCCCTGCTCTGGAAGGGCCACGCAACAGGAAGAACGGTCACTATGCTAGCAAGGATTTGGGATGGCAAAACCTAGGGAGGCCGCGCTCCAAGCTTTCACACATAAAAGGTAAGATGATGTTTGTACTATGCTGCTTTGTTCCTTCGTGTTATGAATCATGTCATTGCTAAGATACAGCAGTGCAAACCAGAAATAGGCAGCAGTTTCACAGGGAGTGAATGTCTATCATCAGGATTCACAGCAGGGCACAAAGAGTGATGTAACATCAACCAGCAGCTCCTGCGATTGAAACAGCAGCTGCTTTTGTTTCTGTATCAGAGGTGCACTACTGCACACATCCTCCTCTTGTAACAGTCACGTAATTAAGCATGTGTAATTCTGCTTACAATCCTGTACCTGAGTTTCTCCTTCCTAAGTCTTATGGCAAGTCTCATTAATTACTCCCTTGAAGCTTCCTAATTCATATCTTCCCTCATGTTCTCATCCTTTAAATAGCCACAGATGGAAATACCATCTCTCCTTTTTCTGAGCTTCATTTGCCTCAGTCTGCAATGAATCTTTCACATTTTCCCATGAGGTAAAACAGTTTGGTTGCTCTTTTTAGGACACGAAGGCGATCCCTGCCTACGGTCATCAGACTGTATTGAGGGACACTGCTGTGCTCGCCATTTCTGGACCAAAATTTGCAAGCCTGTGTTGCATCAGGGAGAAGTGTGCACCAAACAGCGCAAGAAAGGGTCCCATGGACTGGAGATTTTCCAACGATGTGACTGTGCCAAGGGTCTGTCTTGCAAAGTATGGAAAGATGCGACCTCTTCTTCTAAATCAAGACTTCATGTGTGCCAGAAAATCTGAAGAAGGATTGGGAAGACAGTATTAATTGACTGTGGCTTTATGTATTTAATGCATTACGGCATGGTGGGAAGTGAGAACTGCAAAGGAATGGCTAAAGTAAACAGTTTAGGGTAGAAGTCACACCAAGTGCATTTCTTTTATAGCTGGTGGTAAATGCAAGTGCAGCTGAAGTTCTCCTACTGTACATCGCTTCTGTAAATAACTTCTACATTTTGTGGGAAAGGCTAGTAGGCAAACAAGTACAGTGGAAATTAACGTCACTTACCTTACTGTGTTGTCTCATGATGTTTCAGGAGTTCAATGTTAGGGCTACAGTGAGTTTCCAGCATGGTAATGACTTCAAAATAAATTGTCTACATTGTACTCCTATAGGAAACACTGCATGCCAGGAAGACTCATCTGTCAACACATTATTATAGGCCACATTGCAGGTATGAGAAAGGGAAATAAAGTTACTGTGAATGCCCACATGCCCTTGTCATTCACGGCTAACACTTCAGCAGAGACAGCACTCCTGCAGGACAAGAGTGCTGTGTTTTGCAGACCCTCACGAAAGAGGTGAGAACTTGCCATCTCACAATTTCAAGACAGCAACAGTTTCTCTAAGAGGAGGCATTTAAACAGGGGTTTGTTTCCTATACATAGTTAAATTGAAATGCTTTATGTAGTTCGATGTCACAGTATGACACTTAATCGCTTGTATTTGCCTTGGTTTAATGCTAGTATAAGTTGGGTTGAACAGGGGAAGCAAATATGTGCATGCTGGATCCGGAATTATATACAGACAGTTGCTCATTAGTCCTAAGTATGCTTTCCTTGCCTAAGCATACTTGCATTGTAGACATTTCCAAAAGTAATAGCAGTGTTGAAGTGCCTAACACAAAGAGCTATGAAGTTGTTTCACTGTTGCTGTTACAGCAGATGATGTAGACATTTGTCGAGCTCTTTAGAGCATACTACTACAAACTCAAATTTTAATGTTTAATGAGTGGCCACAGGCTACTGATGGCAGTCTGCCCCCGTATAACGGATTTGTTTCTTAGAAGCAACAAAGAAAATGGAATTGTCTCTTGTGAGCACCTCCTCTCCTGCAGAAAGAAATGTAAGATGGTGCAGCTGCAAATGACTTGTTAAAACATCGTGCGATGTCACAGCATGCCAGCCTCCAGCGTTTATTCAGCCGGAACTTGCTGTCCTCTCAGCGTGGACTGTCTTGCCAGGAAAGATGGAAGTACATGGACTGTGGAAACTGCTGACTCTACATTGTTTGCGTACTGGTTAAAGAAAACACAGTTTCTATCCCTTGACTTGTCTCCCAGGTCACTTCAAACTTTTTTTCATTTTACTTATTTGTGAGTATTCCTTTGTGTAGACATTGGTAAAGAGATGGATATTTCTTTAAAGAAGTCTGATTCTATAACTGACCTACTGCTAAGTTGTACTTACCCATTTATAATTACCCATTTTCATGTTTTGTAATACAAGGGAATTTTCTGTTTAATTAGTTCTGAAGAACACAGGTAGACCAGTATGTAGTTTTAACTTCGAAGACCATGCCACCCACAACTGACACCTTTTTTCACCACTTTTGGTTGTTTTAATGCTATAGCTTAGCTACACCACCTGACTCAGACTTCCTAATTAGAACACAGACCTCAGCTACATTGCCTTTATCTTTCGTAAGAGTCTAAATAAGAAGAGTATTTTACATGCCTCTTTACCTACTGGAGTTTTATTTTTTATTGACCCAGAGGGACTACTCAGAGACAGCATCTCCTGTTTTTTTAAGTCTCAGTCAGAATTTTATCTTGCAGTCCTGTCATTGCAACTCTGCTTATTTCAGAGTTTTTTCTAGTGTAAATGAAACAGGAATGAGGCTCAGAAATAGTTTCAAGACATTTAAAAAAGTTCAGAAACCAATTTTGCAAGTGTTTTTTATACTGACAGGGCACATACTCGGCAAAGGAGCTCTATTGCTCTCGTTGTTGACTACATATAAAAGAAAATTATGTCCAGCGTGAGCAGGAAGGGTTTCAGAAATGGGCTCTCAGCAATTTTTAGCTCTTCTTATCGTTGGCCTACCTGTCCCTTTTTCCTCTTGCAAAACATAGTTATTTGGGATAATTTATTTACAGGAAATGTTTAATGAGATGTATTTTCTTATAGAGATATTTCTTGCATAAAGCTTTGTAGCAGAATATATTTGCAGCCTGTTGACTTTAATGTAGAAAAATGTATAATAAGATTAAATATATTAAATGTCCTTTCCCATTCCTCCCCAAATATTTTACCGATATTCTTTTCCTTACCTGCTGCTTAAGAGTAGTTCTTTCTGGAAAGATATGCAAAGCTATTGGGAAAAAAATACAAATACATTGAGCTCTACAAGAAGAAGCATCTAATTGTACTTGTGTCTCAAAGCACTACATAGGCTGAGTTTTGATAAAACACATGAAGGTCATCTTAAAATCCCCATGTGTCATTTCTACAGAACTGGTTTAAATGGCAACTATCTGTATGAATTTCTTGGGACCGTTTGCACCTAAACATTCAAGAATAAGTTTTGAAAATAATGCACCTGTGTGCACAAGGTTCAATCAGCCACAGTAAATAGAAGAGGTGCCCAAAGACATTCCTTGGATAGTGATACATACCAGAGAGACTCACAGTGGTAAAGCTGGTATTCAAATGATGTGACACCTTGCTGTAGGCTGCAGCAGGCAAATGCACAGCAGCAATACATAGAACTAGCAATTCTGAAATGGCAGATAGCAGCATTCAGCTCTACTACCATGAAACAATCCGTTTGACACAACTGAAAACCAGCCAAGTTCTGACCCCAGGAAAACCCCTGCAGAGCTCAACAAATATTGCAAAATAATGGTTGTGGTTATTGAGCAATGGTCTCAGTATTCTTGTTACTTGTTTCTGGTAACTCTCTGCTTAAACAGATGTACATTTGGTGGATAAAATGGTCTCCAAGTCGCACAAGTGTTTGTACAAAATGAAAAGGTTTTGCTACTGCTATTTGCACTATTTGGTGGGTAGGCCTTTGAAAATTCTAACACTTTTAACAACAACATAATACAGTTGTGAGCATCTTCAGAGCTCAGTGACTTCAACAGAGCTTGAGGCTGCCAAGGCCTTCAGGGATTTAATCTGTGAACAAAAACAATAGGCAGAGGCAGTTTGTAGAACACCACAAATACCAAGCAACATAGCTGGACTCAATAGCATGCAAGCAGTTTCGCAAGACTGAAGTTTGATTGTTTAGAAGCCATTCAGTCAATATTTTGGGGAAATATACATCGGTTTGAGAATAAATGAACAGCTAAATTTGGGGATAATTGCTCTCACTTACTGTGTCACTCATCAAGGGAATTAAGAATGACTTTGGCTCAGTACCATTTCAGAAATCTGCTGTCAGGATGCAAGTACTCAATAGATTATTGCTGAACAATTCAAATACTCTTTCTATTAGCCTAGAATAACCTCAGCAGTGCAACAGCTCTTTGGAAATACTTATTAATTTTCCTAAAAGTAATGGATTTCTGCTCTATAATGGCATATATTTGATTTACAGTATAACTCTGCATGTCTATCACTGTACTATTTGTTTTATGTTGTTTGTGACCTATAGTATTTATGATTTTAAACATTTTTTTAATGAAAACAATGAAATAGTTTTATGCATGTACTTGTATACCAACATTTTCAACAGCATACATCCAGCATCTGACACCTAAAATGCAGTTCACTGGAATGCAAGTTATCTTCTGCACATTTTGACTTACTTGCTCATTGCCTCAACAACAGGAAAAAAAAAAAATCATCAACAAAGACCATGAACTGCCTTGGGCAAAAGCCAAGAAGAGACCTTCTTGACCTTTTGCTTGTCACCAACCCACGAGCTCTCTCTGGTTTCACTTCAGAGCCCTGCATCATCATCTCCAAAAGGAAAGGTAAATGCTATCAAAGAAAATTTGTAATTTTTCATGCCTCCCAGTTTCCCAGCCTTCTAGGAAACCCATTCTGAAAAGCAAAGCCAGCAGAAACTCACATAACAGATACTCAAAGCCAAGGCTTTTAGAAGTCTTGAGATATATCCTCTAACTTTGAAAAACTTAGTTGCCAAGAGCTTTATGTAGCTAATAAGACTGTATTTACAAAAAAATAAAGACATCTACCACTTTGGATTGTCAGTCAACTGTTCTGAAAACTACTGTCCACAATAGACCAAAAAAAGAAACCTACCACACCCCTCCACTTTCCAAAAATCCACCTGCAGTCCCTGACAAAGGGAGTGTGTTGTGGATTTTGTGGGTGTGTTTTGTTGTTTGGGTTTGGTTTTTTTTGCACTAGGTGCAGTTTCACAAAGCCATCATTTATTTTGTTTTTAAATCACACTAACAATAAAGTTATGCTTTCTTACGGAGCTCACTACTTGACATATGGCGTCTTTCTGATGCTGCATTAAACAGGCATGAAGGAACAGTCTAGAGGTCTGCATTCCCTCATTTAAATCATATAATTTCACTGAGATCAGGTGAAAGTGCCTGCTCGAGCGTCTTATTATCTATTACAGTTTTTAACATGTCCACCACTACTCAAGAGTGCGTAGAGTTCAACACAGATCCTAGACACCTTATGTTTTGCCTTCAATTTATATGACTTTTCAGTTGCTGAACTGTGGCAAACACCTGATGCAGCCCCCTCTTAACCTTACTGCTCTGCTAGCTTGGTACAGACCTGCCCAAGGCAGCAATGCCGGTGGTGAGGAGAAAGCACAGAAAACTGTGGTGGGGAAGGTGGACGGGAGAGTCAGCCAGAAACTTGAAATGCTGGGAACAGGAGGGAATCTACCTCAAAACTTGATTAGATGCTATTGCACAGAAAAAAACCAAAAACCAAAAAACAACCAAAAGACTGTTCATCGTATCCTGCTCAAAAATTCAAGAACAGAGGAAGGGCAAACATGGTCTGTCTGCTCCTGAGCCACT